TAACAAGAGTATTTTTATTATATTTGTTCAAAAATTCGTTATATCAAGAGTTCGCTATATCAAGAGTTGACTGTATTAGCTATTCTAAAATTTTAATAATATTATTATTAAGTTATTTATATATATTATTTGCTGTATATATTTTATTAAAAATTATATTATTTCACTTAAATCATATTTGTTATTTTTATAATCTTTTAATATAACTTTTTACTATTTACTTATTAATTTTAAATTTTAAATATATTATACAAACCCTATATTTAATGTTAAAATTAATATAATTATTAATACAATTAGTATAATTAATATGGTTAATACATTATATAATAATATAAAAATTAATATAAGTATAATACAAATATAATATTAATTTTATTTAGTATATATAAATTTCTTAATCTTAAAATAAAATTTTTTTAAATAAACCTCTGGTTTTAATAATAATATAATATATTTATATCATATAATAATACATAAATCAATTTTAATAAACAAAAATATAAATAACTTTGATTTTATTTTTCTTTAATAAACTGCATCAATTGATATAAAAAAATTATAAATTAAATAAATTTGAATATAGAAAAGTAATTAATTTACAAAATACTTGAAGAACTTATAAAGATATTACTTATATTTTAAATATTTTAAAATATTATTATAGATATAATTGCTTGATATATTAATTTTAATAATAGATTTAATGTTAAAAATTCTAAAAAATTACTTTTTATAAATAATAAGATTAAAAATTATAAAAAAATAATCAATCTTCTTTTAATGAAATTCAGTATAATTTTTAAGATTTAAGAGATAAAAAGTTTTATTAGATACTATTTAGAAATCTTTTTATTAAATAAAAATTCACTTGTAAATTTTTGCATTAAAATTACTTTTTACAGAAATTTAATACAAAAATCAATTAAAATAATATATAAAGTAGTAAAATTGATCAATTAAAAAATGAAAATAAATGATTTAAAGCAATAAATCACAATTTACTCTTTTTAAGATTAATGAATCTAATTATATTTAGTGAAAAAATAATACTCAATATAATATTAAAATTTAACTCTTTTAGTTAAATATAGTAGTAATAGCATTATATTATAAGAATGTTTTTCAAAGGATTAGGACTATTAGTAAAAATTAAGGAAATAATAAACTAGTTAAAATATATTAAAAAATTTATTGCTATTTATTTGATCTAAATATTATAAACAACTTTATTTATTTTAAGATAATAATACTTTAATTTATACAACAAAGGATATTAAAAATTAAATTATTTAAAGATGGAATAAAGTGCTTTCTGATTAATCTTCTTAATTTCAAATCTTAAATTTATAGACTAACCTTAAATAAAGATGCATTAAATATTCTGTATATCTAAAAATCTTTATAAATTTAAAAAAAATAGAAAAATATTCTATTAAAACTTATATTAAACTTATAAAAATATATCATATAGAATTCAAATATATATTAAAAATTAAAAATTACATACTAAATTTTAAATTTTATAATTATATTAAAATTTTTTAATAAATAAATAAACTTTAGCTAATAAAATACTTATCTAAGAATAATAAAACTTCTATCAAATTTATAGTTAACTTAATATATTAAAATTTTAAAAGTAAATTTAAATTATTTTACAATTATTTCTTTTTATCTAAACTAAAAATCATAAATTTATTTTATTTATATATTTATATATTATTCTTTACTAATCGTTTATAATTTAATCACAATACTTTTAATAAAATTTTAAGCAATTTTATGTTATTTTAAAAATATTGCCTTTTTAAACTTTAATTATAAAATCTTATCTTTTTAATGATCATTTAACAGTATTTAAAAAAATAATATTTTCATTAAAAATTAATTTTTTTGAACTTAAATAGCATTTGAATATTTACCTAACTTAATAAATAAGTTTATCAATATTTCTATTATAATATTCTGTAAATATTTTTAAGTTACCTAATCTTAAATAATATTATAACTTTTTATTTTTTATTTTTTTATTTTTAATATAAAAATATAGTTAACTTTTTCATAAGTAATTACATATTCTTCTTGAAAAAGAGTAAATCTATATTTTTTTTTGATAAAATAAAATCATTTTTATAATAAAGTAAAAATATAAAAATATAATATAAATTAATCTATAATTATTTTATTTATATATATAAGATTTATCATAATCATTTTTTGTTTACTTTTATATTAAATTATTATAACATAAAAAAACTTAACATGATATTTTTCAAAAAAGCTACAAATAAATATTAATAAAATTAATATATATATATATTAAAAATAAACTATCTAAAATTCTATATGTATAGTTAATAATTATAAAATATAATAATTTTAAAATTTTTAAATGAAAAGATATAATAATTATAAAAGTCATATAATTATATCAATTTAATAGATTATTAAAAACTTATTTAATTAAAATTTAGATTTTTACTATTTTTATTTTTATTTTAATAATTATTTATATTAAAAGTTATTTTTAATTTTAATAATTTAGTTATTTTTGATATTTTTATTTAAAATAATTTCTAATTTGATTTAATTTAATAACAAAAATAACAATTTATAAAGAAAACGAGAATGTAAACCGGTTAGAGCGAAAATGGAATATTTCTAGGAAAATCAGATTCTGAGAATATTTAATCTTAATTTTATTAATCAGAATCTTCCTAAATTAAAATTTATGCTTGCTGATTTTGGGTAGTAGATAACCTCATCAGATTGGCAAAACGGATATGCCAAACAAAAACAATAAAATGAACAAAATGTTTAAAAAATTAAAAATGTAATATAATATCTTCTGTTCATGTATGTTTGTGGCGTAGATATGTATACAACATATCAATCGGAGTATGAACAACGATTCATTGGTTCATTGGGTTCATTGGACTGAATTCCTAAAAATAAACTACTATTATCCTAAGAGAGATATATATTCAACTCTCCCTTCCACTTACTACTTAAAAGGTTCAATTTTTTTGTTTTTTCCAACTAGAAAGTTATTTATTCATTCATTTATATATTTGAAATGGTTGTGATATTACCTATTGAAATCATCTCTAAAATATTTGACTATTTTCCAACGAGATTATTATGTAAATATTCTGTTGTTTCACGTAAATTAAATTGCGAGATTAAAAAAATAATTGGGCAAAGGTTTAATAATGTTTTTTCAAATTCTGATAAACGTTTGTTGGTGAGTACATACTAATTTTTAGATATCATAAGGTTTTGTCAGGTTATCAGAAATTAAAATTTTTTTTTATTAGGTATATATGTCAAGATACGATTTAATTGAATTATCACAAGTTTATTACGCATTTGATTTGGGATTTAAATCTTTAAACTCAGAAACGTTAATATCAATCTTTACATCATCTGACCAATCATTCCAAAAGGATCCTTTTTCAGTATTAGGATTAAAATTACGTGGCGGGGGGGTATTTAATAATAAACCATTAAATTCACCGATAACATATTTGGGTTGGGGAGCAACGTCGGAAGAAAAAGAAGCAAGAATTTACATTTTTGATTCAGATATTTCTCATTCCAATCATATTTCCCCATGTTATTATGTAACTAATGGGAGGTTACTAACACCTATAGATGGATGTAAATTAAATAAAGGGTGGTGGAGTGCACCCCTTTTACAAAAGAATAAAAAAATGATGTCGAAAGCAGGATTTCTTGGTAAAAATGAACTTTATGACAACGTAGGCATTCCTTACGTGCTTGGTGATTTGAAATCCGTTTCCATTAAAGCTGATGTATTATTGGTTGCTTACGAAGAAAAGAAAAGAGATAAATCTATTACGGGTGTAAAATATTTGGTAACGTCCGGCGGTGAAAAACATTTAAGGCAAAAAAATGGTTGTGTGATTTGCTAGGCTTATTGTTTTATTTAGAATTTTATCATTATTATTTATTAATTTATTGATTAATTTGTTATCCAATTTAATGAATTCGGCCGAAAAAAAAAAAAAAAATACAGTCTTATAGACCAGCCAATTATTATTTACTGAAAAAAAAATAACATATTTTACAATATAAACTTTATTTATAAATTTCACAATTGAAAAAAAAAAATCCCGAATATTCTATTTCTATTTGTCTACAATGATAACAATAATACAAAATAATGCTTAAATGATCAACGTGCAATGGACCAATCAGTTTATATTCATTTTCGTAAAAAAAAAAAATTTTCTTATAATTGTTCAACAATTATATCAGTAAAGAACAATTTTCGTTCGTTTTATATTAAATCAGAATCCAATTAAAGTTGCAAGGAACGTCGCAGCAACGGCCATCAAAGACCATTCAATGGTCGAAGAAGCGGCAGAAGTACCTTTAGCATGAGTATCATTGTGATCATTGTGATTATCACCTTCAACGTGATCATCGTGATCACGTTTAAAGACAGGAGCATTTTCGATTGGATAACTTAATGAATTTCTTGTTTGCATTTCGTCTCCTTGAACAAAAGAGAAGGTAATTGTGAATAAGAGAACACAAACGAAAAGTGTAAGAGTTGATGGACGCATGTTGGTAATTTTTGAAGATAAAATGATTTAGAATTTATTTGTGATTGTTTTGATTGATTGTTGAATTTTGATCTTTTCGATCTGGAAGAAAAGTGAGTGTATTTATATCATTTCTTTCGAACAAAGTAAAAAAATTGCTAATGATTATATGGTAATATTAATAATAATTTAATTTCTCCTTTGGTTTTAGGTTTGCAGCTCGCTTGAAACTAGGAGGTGTTAAATTGGACTTGAATAAGTAAGTGATTTACGTTTTTGTCAATAATTGACCAATCAGAATTAATGGTAAATAAAAAAGTAATATTTCATTTAATTTATTGACACATCAAAAGAAAAAAAAAATAATTTAAATCTGCAACATAATCATAAAGAAATGAAACATTTTCCGATAAACGCTTCCTAATGAATGTCACAAATGTTTTTAATTAACACGCATTTTGTCAGAAAAAATAATATCAAATTTCTTACATTCTAACGGTAAAAAATCGGTTAAACGTTTCGACGAGCATAATCATATAAACGAGATCAAATGTGTTTTCTTCAAAGGAAAATCCATGATATATACGCTAGCTTAATTTCTGAACTAAGAAACAGAAAATTCAACTTGAGTTCCCAATGATCGAAAGATCCCAAACATCGCAAGAAAGTTTTCTCAAACCTTAAAATCATATAATAAAAATGTTCATCACTCGTGTAAAGGATTGATTTAAAAGAATCCTTTATTCCTTCAGAAAAAATAACTTTCAGAATATTTATAAAAAAAAAATTTCTCTGCTATAATAATAATATTACATCATGGTATAAACAAAAAAAAAAAAACTCACAAAGAACCTTTTGATCTTTATCCGATTTAAGATTAAGTCTATCATAATAACGCGCTATCTGTGTAAATAATTACAACAGTTAAATGATGAAATATTTAAATTATTTTTTTTATCTAATCTTTCTTAATAATCAAAATTTCTTCTAATAAGAGGATCTAAATTAATTATCCGACATTATTGTTGTTATTAAAAATTAAATATAATTACTGAATGTAGTTTAGCCCGGAAATCTTCTATGCCAAATCCAAAATTTCCGAATTTAAAAATTTTACCGGGTTTTTCAGCAATATAAATTCGGTAAATACGTATAATACGTATATAGTAGTTTACAAAGTGAACCTAACCGATTGGAAATCTGATCATAAATATAGATAAATGTAGAAATTTTTTTAAAAACATAAGGGTAGTAAGAATTTGGTAATGAACACAAAAAATTTTCGATTAAGGGAAAATAAGTCATGCAGGATATTTAACCTTGAAACACGAGGTGCGTTATAATTCCAAATTCTTTAAAAAAAATTCTTAATTCCACTTTTTATGGTCTTTCCTTATAATACCCCTTAATTAATATTAAGTAAATATCCTGTATTTTTTATTTGGACCCTATGAACAAATAAGAACGGAAAAACTTTAATAATGCATACTTGACTAATGATGCTCGTTAATTTGGATTAATAAGCAAAACAAGCCCTTCGCAAATCGTAATTAGATGTAACATAACCTATTTGCCAATGAACTCGTATTGATTAACAACGTTTAGATAAATATCATATCTTTATGCTGAAAACACATTTTTTCCTTACGTAATTTTTGGTCGAAATTATGAATACTTTGCCGGTATTAATAAAGTTATTTATTATTATTCTTTAAATAGTTTAAAAAAGCAAACTTGTTTACAAACCTTTATATTTTAAATGATAATATTATTTTAAATATAACAATGCATGTTTTTTAAAAAAATTTTATATTAAGTTTTTTAAATTGATCTATTATATAAGTAATAATTTTGTATTATTAATTAATCTAAATTATACTTAATTCTCTAATGTGATTAAACTTTAAATAATCTTATTATTATTTATATTTTCAATCAAAATATCAAAAAATAATTTATTATATATTATTTTAATTATCATTATACAGTATTATTAATAATATAATTTTATTCTTATTAAGTTTAATTGATTTTTTAATAAGATTTTAAATTTATTTTTTACTATTTAAATATTTACTAGATAACAGGAACCATTGAAGTATCTGAAGCATTCAAATAGTTGATATTTGATTAACTGTAATACAATACTTATAGATCACATATGAAATAAACATCACATATATGATTTTAGTAAGTGTCTTATACTTATGCTTTAGACAACAAAGAAAAACAAAATAAAAATGTTTTATTAAATTAAATAAAGTAACAATCATAATAATAAAGTTATTTATCATTAAAATATATCTTTAAAATATTATTACAGCATATTATTAAAAATAAATATTGTTAAAAATAATTAAAAAATGTGTAATCAAAAATTTAAGAATGATATGTAACATAAAATATATGAATGACACAAATATATTATTAGCTGATCACATGTAAAAATAAACATCAAATGCATGTTTTTAAGTTTAACTGTTATGTCTTATATTTACGCTTCAAATAATAAAATTTAATTAAATTTAATAATCTAATATATTATTTTTAAAATAGTAAGAACTTTCTAAAGAAAATTATTTACATAAATGCTAAAGTCATTTTAAAATTAATTATAATCTTTAATTAATTAAAATGTAAAATTTTATATAAGAATTATTAAAGATAGTATTGCAAATAATTGTAATTTTATAATATTTATTTATCACTAATTGCAACTAGTTATATTTAATTTTTATTAATATTATAATGAGTTATAACTTATAATACTTATTTATAACTATTATAAAAAAAATTATTTTAAGCATAGTAAAAATACATAATATGAAAAGAAAAAAATTAAAGAATAAGATAAATAGCTGAAATAAATTAGCCTAAATAGTTTAATTAAAGAAGAATACTATAAAATAGAATAATTATGTAATTAGTTTAATTTAACAAGTTACTTTATAAAAATGAGATAATTTAAAAAAACTAAATAAAAAATATTGTAATTCAATTAGTTTAAATTAAGAATACTAAAAAACGAATTAAAGAAAAAAATATAAAAAAATAAGAAATAATAAAAAAAATATAAAAATAAAAGACAAAATATAAAAAGAGAAAAAAAATAATTAGATATAAATAGAAGTGATTTAGAAATAAATAAAGAAAATAGATTTTATTTTTATTAATTATATAATTAAAAAATTATAATAGAAAAAAGGCTATAATATAGGATAATTAGAAAGAATATAATTAATTATAACTTTTAGATTATTTTAATAAATATAAATTTTTTTCTATTCTTTAATAATAATTGTTAAATATAAATAAAATAAATTCTTTACTTTATCTTTATAAAACTATTTCATATTAGAAAAGTTCTCTCACATTAAATTAATTTATAAAATAATTCAAAAGATATAACAATTAAATTTTTATTAGATTTATAAGTAGATAATAAAAGTGAAAGTAATGGTAATTATATAATTAACAGTATCCAACATTATTTCAAAGGCTATTTTTCTAAATGAATATTTTTCTGAAACTTTAGATAGAGTTATTATAATATAGATTAAACTTTTCAAAAAAAATATCTATTCAAAAAAGTGATTTTTAGAATAACTTACTATAACTTAGAATCAATTTTCTTTTTTATAAGTATTTTTCTTATACTAATTATAATTATTTATAATATTATCTTTTATAATTATAATTTTTTAATTTGAATTAAAAATATTATAAATAAAAATTTTATTTTTTAATAATTAAAATATAATTATTTTATAAAATGTATATATAATATTTAAATATTTAATTAATTTAGAGTATTAGTAAAGGAATATATATATTTTATATACTTTGATATTCTGATATCTGTTTATTGTCTCATAAATTAATATTTATTAATATGTATTATTTCATTGCTGATCATTACAAATTACTTTATCATGTAAATTTAAATATACTATATTTTTAATACTTTAGATTTGCAAACAGTTTCTATTACTAAGTAATATTAAAAAAATTTAAAAGTTAATCTTTATATAGAAAATACTTTATAAAAAATTAAAAAATAATTATTAAAATAAATATAATTATTTTTTTTTTAATTTATTTAAAACTATTATATAAATTTTATTTTTTAATAAATGAATTTAATATATTTAAATTTAAAATAATATAAATATTTATTAAAATTAGATTTTATGATTTTTTATCAAATTAAATTTCTATTATATTTAAATTAAAAATAAATTATAAAAAATAAATTATTAATCTTTTAAAATTATAATTTAAATTATAATATTATAAAATTTAAGAGTTATAATATTAAAATTTGTATTAATTATAATTTATAAATTTATATTTTGAATTATAAT